CACAGCCAGGCTGTGACAAATCGTGACGAGCAAATCCAATTGTGGCAACAACATGCCCAAACCTCGAGTCCTTTTCTACGGTTTTATGCATGCGAGTTTACACAATTTTAAATTGAACCGTGCCTTGTTTCAAACAAATTAAATTCTCTCAAATGTTTTTCAACTGTCATTCGCCAAAACAGAGACAAAGTGAATTGTCAATCACGACGGCGAATGTGTTACATTCAATTTGATATGAATTTCCAACCGATTTGATACGCATTTTTGCAAAAGATTCAAAGTTCTGCAGCTCAAATTTAAATCATATTTTATTCCATATTTGTCAACTGTTTGGTATGATTTTAAAGAGCAACAAAAAATAACGTTAAAACTAAGAGATACAGATTTTGTTGGGCCGAATTGGAAATATTTCCATTATCAATTTGAAAATTTATCCAATTTTAAGATATGAGTAAAGATCTATATACTCTTTTTATAGGGATATACACCGCTTCATTTGGCTACCCAATTCGGAAGGCAAAATATATACGAACTACTATGGAATGTTTACAGTACGTATTCCAATTATATTGATTCATGAACGAATGTATTGGATATTTCATCGAAATGGTCAAGATACATATGAGAATACATATCAGTCTTATGCTTCATGTGTAAATTGATTAAATTAACGAATCTCTTGCAAACTCCTTTAGAGGCCAATCGGGACATTATGGATTGGAGTGGAAATAAGCCATTGGACTACAGTCGCCAGCGGCCCAGTGTTTCGGCCTCAACGTGCAGTAGTGAGTATCAAAAGTATTTCCTCGGCACGGAGCTAAACAACAACTACCATCTGGGATACCAGCACATTGAGAGCCCGCTCTCGAGCGCTGGCAATGGGATCATGGGCGGCACACTCGGCAGCGCACTGACACGCGGCAAAAAGCGCTCTCAAATGCGTTATGCCACCGTTAGCAGTGGCTCAGGTGGGGGCACTGTGACTCGCACTCAATCCCTGATGACATCGGGTTCATATCGGCGCTACAAAAAGCCATCTGTCCAGTCTCTGTTGTTCAAAGAGTCGAATGAGGACAGCGACTCGGAGCCAACGCCGAGAAGCAAACGGGACACAAACGTGGCCACTGATCAGCCCGATGAGGACAAATTGGAAAAGCTAGAGGGCGAATCGCACGAGCCCAAGTTACGCAATGCCCCCACTCGACGCAAGGAGAGCTTTTTGCGTAAAACATTTCGGTCCGCTGCCGGTGCGAGCCGACCCCCAAAAGATGTTGTTACTAACCAAACTACCTAAACAATCCAAGCATGTGCCAATTAACCAGCTTATGTATTTACTATCTAACTAAACAAAGGGTAGCGAAAAACAACTGTATACGAATACGAATTTTCTTAATGGAATTCTTGAAATCTTTGAACTATTAACAACAAATCAAGAAAAAATACATACTTTATTATACACACAACTTGTTAAGCACATAATATTAACAAATTAATGCTATTCACTTGCCCAGTTATTTTTTGTACACCCTTTTTAAAAGAAAAAAATGTATCATAACCCCTTCAAACTATTAACCGAATTGCACCTGAAAACTTTTTTAAAAATTATACTTTTAAGCTCACATAAAATATGTTTATTGGATATCTGAGATATTATATAGCTATATATATATGAAAGCTTAAACATTACACACTGTTATTAGCATCAATGAAACTTTTATTAAAATAACAAAAAGAAATATATATAGAATACATTAAAACACTTAGCAAATGCTTTTAGTAAATGTTATATTAGTCTGATCTTAAGCAAAAACTGTCAAATAGTTAAACATATAGTAATCAAATTTGTTGTAGCTATTTAAACAAGCATACAAAAAATTTATTGAGGGTTTTTAACCCATCGTACACAATTCAAACTAGAAGTTAGCTGCCGATATAAATATGTGTGTATATAAAAGTGATTTCGTTATGCCGCACAACTAGATAAACTATAGCGTAACTGCTTAGATATTTCTACTAAGTTACACAAGTCTTAACAAATTTGAATACGCTTCGCCGGAGCTTGTTAATTGATTAACACTTTTGCTAGTTCTAGCAATAAACAAAGTAATCGATGTTTGCAACATACATATCCAGTATTTAATATTTAATAATACATCAATTAAGTTTTGTACTTAAACGGTATTAACAACTGCATGTCAGCAAGTTTACAAAACAAACATAAAAAAGAATAGAACATCTGCAGCAATTGATTTAATTGACATTAAATTCCGCAAGACATTCCTTTTAATTGCATGTTTATCTGATATTTCTTAACTGAATCACGTCCATATCAGTTGAATTAATGGCAAGACTGCCGCTGCATTAAGTATTTCGTATTTAAGTTCTCAACTATCTTAACTGGGGAACTCCTCTATTTATTTTCATCAATGCTACGTGTAGAAATTCAAGCGATGCGGCACAGCGGCGGACACAACGGAACCTGGAGGCAGGTTGACTTAACTAAAGAATTTGAATGTTTGCAATCAATTAATGTTCAATAAAATGTTTCCGCTTGTTATTATGTATATACTTTATAAGTTTTTCAAAGCATTGTAAAAAAAAAAAAAAACAAACAAAAGAAAAAACACGCTAACGCTTTTTGTAGTATTCTTGAATTTTTTATTTGAAAGCATTTGATTTTGATGCCTGTTATTCTTATTTATTTATTTGGTAAGTTTTTCTTTTAACGAATTCCTTAATCGCACAATCATTTGTCCTTCTGAAAAGAGCTACTAACTAATATTTAGTTTACATATTTTCATTTTAATTTTAACAGCATGTGCATGTGAAGTCTTTATTTAACGCAAATAATTATATCTCTTATTTTTTTTATTCAATCTTTGCAGAAATCAAAGCGCGAAAAAAGCATACAAGTAAGTGCTCTTTTTATTTACTTAAGTAAATTCATTTAAATTTGATATTTGTTATTTTGTTGCAGTCGAAAAAGATTTGGGATTCCTACGGATTGGTTCACTGAATGTCCGAGTAAAGAAAACAACCGAAGCGTTCAGCAATTTCTTGGGAGTGGGCAATGGCAGTGTCCCGATGCCGTATGGAACTGGCGGGGCCATCGAAGTAGGTCGCCATCACCAGCGAACTCACCGTCACCCTCATCAGCGTCATCATCATCATGCCAATGGTATGACACGGGATCGGCCTCCGAATCAGAGAGCATCGGTGACAATACCATACGGCTCGAGTAATATAGTGGGCTCCAGATCAAGTGTTCCAACCAATAGGAATATATATGACGCTGTTCACAAGTCTTGGGGCTCAGCGGACAATATAACACAACGTTCAGAGAATTTGATGCCACCACCAAAATCGGTTGATTACGTCTCAAAGCGCTACAGAACTTCGAAACGATCCTCTTATGCCTCCAATGCCACAGACTCACCGCGGGATTCCATCTGCTCATCCAATTCCAGCTCAAATCTAAACACCGGCTACAGCAGCATGCCCACAACCCCAAATCAAATACGTGCTCCAAAGAGTATTGGTTCAACACTCAACGTTGATTCGGACTCCGATTCCGCGTGTGGCTTCGACTCAAACTGGTCTGTCAATGACGGAAATTCGATCAACAATAATGTGTTAAGATCCTAATCATTGCATATTCTTTTATAAAGTATACCAATTATTCTTTGTGAGGCACTATTAGATATAAGAACATTTGTATTCCAAGCGAGACTCAGATTTAAATTGATTTGTTTTTGCGGAGACTATATAAACAGAAATTCAGTTGGCACATATGCGAAATAAAACCCATTCTTATCGAGAGGCCTTAAAAAAATATAAATATATTCATATGGCCATTGCATATTGAAACAAATATATTGATTAATTTTTTACAGAATATACATCATAAATAAAAATGTTTTAAATTGGAATTTTGTAAATGCAAAAGCCATCAAATGTTGAGCAGCTCGCTTAGTATTCGCATAGTATCGTGTGGTGTATTGACCTTATGTCCTTGAAGGCGAGGATCGGTATAGATCTCGTAATCATTGCCACCTGGTTCTGTTTTGTCGCCAAAGAAATGGATCTCTTTGAATTTATGGTGGGCTTCGATATGACGCAGACAGAAGGTTTTGTCCCAGCCGTGCGGGAACACATCGAAGCTTATCTGACCACCAATACTATAGGTAAGATCGATGTCTGCGAACTCCTCTTTAAGCTTTGCAATCATTTTCTTTCTAATCTGGTGTTCGTCATCGTAGGCCGCAAACATGTTGCGCTCCTCCCGGGTGCATTGACGACCGATCGGGCAGACGTTCATCATTCCATTGCGGAACTCAATAAACGTTCCTCGCTTGATGGGTAATTCCAGTTCAGATAAATAACGAAGCACATAGTTGATAAATCTCTGTAAAGTTGACTCTCCCAAATGCTGTATAATATTTTGTTTGCCCACTTCCTTGCCACGCTCTATTTGCACTAGGCCATTTTCAGGGAATATAAAGTCGAATTCATTGAGTATCTTCTTGCCATTTAGCTGCTCGAACATTTTCTCCAGATCAGATCCACCGACGATTCCAATCGTTGCCCGTGGTTTCACCTTTGTGTAAAAGAACTCCTCGAACTCCGGCTGCACCACCGAACGGGGCATGGTCAAAGTTCCATCCACATCGAAGAGAAGCAATATATCCTCGCGTTTTTTAGTGGCTGTTGACATTCTAAAAACCTGTGACTGTTATCAAACACAGCAGAAAAGTCACTTGTGTCGCACAAAATTGTCCACGTATGTGCGTGCAAAAGTTCGCTGGAATCAGCTGTTTGCTGGAACTGATAACAATTGATAGCCGGCGGTAAAGTCAACGCTTCTTGTGTTCCCTATTTGAGCGCAATCAAAACTACAATTTATAAATACTAATTTCAAACAATATTTTATATTAAATTACAAAAATCAAGGGACGCACCTTTCATTGTGGCCAAATAACAAATAAGTGTGTAAAATTTGCTACGTGTTGAGTAACAGCTGTTCGTGTTTATTGCATGCACAGCATGTATGGATTAATTAACATATGCATGACGGTGTGAGTAATTTAATACAAGTCGGTTTTAACAATATTAAGTTATGTTGAACGTTTGGCTCTTTCTTGCAACGATTTATATTTTTGAGTATTTATCATGGGGTCCACGATAACCGGATATAAAGTTATTCCAATTGCGCCAACTATGCATGATACAAAGCCAACAAATCTCCACCCGCGTAAGACTGCCATTATTCTGCAAGACAGAATTTGTTTAATTCTTAAATGTTTTTACAATTTCTGATTATAAAACAAAAACACCTGCTCTTAATATAAATTGCCTAAAAAATACCAAACGCCGCCAAAAATATCGTAGCCAGCCAACAAAATATCGGGCACACTTTCGATAACACAGCACGAACACTATCGATTACAGTGCATTGCGGGCGTGTCGTAGTTAGGTTCATTTCGCTTGTGTTTATTTTTATTTAATATATATTTAAACTGAATGTGGACTGCTATTTATGTGTAAAAATGAATAGAATTTATTTGTTTTTATGTTTAATAAGCGCATTGTGTTTAATTGTAATTCATGGTAAGTGCAATACACCTGCTCATCTCGCTGACTAAACATAGGGCGTTGCTGCTCTAGCCATGTAATGCATAGTTGTGTATGTGTGTGTGTATGCATGTAAAAGCAAAGGAATTGGCTATTATTTCATTTAAATTTCAACATTAAATGTTATACACGACAAAGCCTAGAAATATAGCTGCAAAATATTATGTGGCCGTTTATCTTAATATATTAATCAAGTGCTATAAGCAATTCAAAAGTGTCCCATACATTTGTGTATGTATATGTATTTGACTACTTTAATTAATTTGGAGATATGCTTATTAGAAGTCCATTGCTTGCTCTACTTTTGTTAATAACTTTTAATTTTAGCACAACATCACTACGATGAACATAAAACCAGCAACATGATTTGGTGCACAAAAAGTGAGGAGGAGCAGTACAAATGTCTAAACTTGACTGCGGCCATCGAACGGGACCGAGCGCTCTTTGACGATGCCTTCATGAATCTCACCTGCTTTATGGCATACAGCGCAGATGAATGCATCCATCATCTGGACCGCGAGAAGGCGCATATCACAACGCTGGACGCCGGAGATGTTTTTACCGCTGGTCGTTACAACTCCCTGATCCCAATAATGCAGGAGAAATTGGAGGGCGGATTCTTGAACTATCATTCAGTGGCTGTTATCAAGAAGAATACACTCCCCGATGTTACCGAGTTGCGACACCTGCGTCAAAAGAGAGTTTGCTTTCCCTGGGTGGGAAGTCTGGCAGGTTGGATTGTACCCATATACACGGTAATGAAGCATATTATCTGTTCGGAAACAAACATATTAATATGCTTGAATTCGTTTTGCTTTTTAGCTGCAACACTTTGGCGATATGGAGGTTGTGGATTGCAATAACCAGGTGAAAACGGCTGCCAACTATTTTAACAGCTCCTGCGCTGTGCACTCGCTGATTGACAAGTACAATCCCATCGGAGACAATTCTGACAAGTTGGTCTATTTAAATATTTAAAAACAGTTCATCTTATAGCACTTACGCATATCTTTTTTAGACTTTGTGCATTATGTACGGGCAAAATACCTGGACGCTGCTCGGCGTCTGATCCATATTTTGGATACGATGGTGCATTTAGGTGCCTCCTCGAGGCGGGAGATGTTGCTTTCTTGCGGCACTCGACTGTTTCAGAAATGCTGCAAACTATAGAGTTTAGTGAGTAGCTTTGTTGTTATTAGAAAATAGTTTCGAAACTTAAATTATGTTTGTACTCTAGAAAAATTGTCGCCGGATACCTTTGAATTGCTTTGCCGGGATGGTAGCCGTGTGCCCATCTCTGACTATCGCCAATGTAGCTGGGGACAAGTTCCTTCGGATGCAATTGTTACTTCCTCAGCTCGTAGTTTTCGGGATCGTTTCCGATACCAACAGTTTTTGAAACGCATTGCTGAGTTGTATTCAGACGCACTCCGTGAGGAATCAAAAGGCAATCAGCCACAGACTGGCGTTGGCTTTAACACATACGATCGCAACAACTTCAATGACCAAGGTCGTAGCAACCCATACGACAATTTCAACAGTCAATACGACAATATCAACACCTACAATAGAAATCAGAACCAAAATCAAAATCCCTTTGACCGATTTGATGGCACAAATTATCGCAATGACCGACTGGACAGCAGTTTTACCACTGAACGCAATTCATTTGATGGCAACACATCTGTACCTTATGAAAAATTCCGTATTTTTGAATCGAGCAGATATGGAAAATCTAATCTGCTTTTCCAGGATGCAGCCAGAGATCTCATTTCCATATCGGAAGACGATCAGTCCTTTACTAAATATTTGCAGAAATCTATTGAATATATATACGGCATCCGGGAATGTCCCGTTCCAGCAATGACGATGTGTGTGACCTCTGAGCCGGAGCTGGAAAAATGCATCAAAATGAGAGTTAGTTCTTTTTCCTTTCTTTAATTTCCTCAGTAATTTCACTTATATTCCTTTTGCAGACGGCGCTCAAAGCACAAATTTTAAAACCAGAACTTATTTGCAAAAAAATGCACTCGCATATAAACTGTATGCAACTTATACAGTCAGGCAAAGCTGATGTGTCTGTCTTTGATGCCGGCGATGTATATACGGGTGGATTGAATTATGATTTGATTCCATTCATGTCTGAGGTCTACAATTTGGGTGAGCCGGAATACTATGTTGTAGCTGTAGCCAAAGAAGAAGATCCCGACACCGAGCTAACGTATCTGAAGGGGAAGAACACATGTCATACTGGCATTAATATGGCCGCAGGCTGGACATATCCAATGGCATTCCTAATATCGAATGGTTGGATACGACCTTATGGATGTGACTCGATACGTGCCGCAGCAGAATACTTTACCAAATCATGCGTCCCCGGCGCAATCAGTAGCGAATATAATACTGGCGTACCGTACGACAGCATGTGTGACCTTTGCCATGGAACCAGCTACAGATACTGCCGCCGCGATGCTTCGGAGGACTACTATGGTCATACGGGTGCGTTCCGCTGCCTTGTTGAGGGCGGTGGCCATGTGGCTTTTATGAAGCACACCACTGTAATGGAGAGCACGGGTGGCAAACGCAAGGAGTGGTGGGCACGGAATGCTTTAAACGATGATTTTGAACTGTTGTGCACGGACGGCACACGCGCCGAGCTGCAAGATTATAAACGCTGCAATTTGGGCAAAGTTAGAGCTAATGCTGTAGTCACGCGTGGCGGGGTCAACTACAATGAGACACAATTGCACGCATATATCAACCTGCTAACCTATGCCCAACAGCTGTACGGCCGGAAGGATGTGGATGCCTTCAGTTTTAGCATGTTCTCATCGCCATTTGGGCACTATGATTTAATCTTCCAAGACGCCACGCGCCAATTGCAAGTTATTCCGGAGAATGAACGACGCTACGATACATACTTGGGCAGCAATTATATGCGTGCACGTCGCATTACGGATTGTTATGCCGGCGCCACTCATATTACGTTTTCCATATTCGCGCTCCTAGCAAACGCATTTGCTCTGAGAATATTACTCTGATTACAAGAGCCTTAATTCTCAATTTCTCTTCACATTCCAAATAGGGTAAAACATTACTCAGAATGACTAGTAACATTTCGAACGCCCAATTCGAATCTCACACAAATGACAAACATACATATCTATGCGTATATATATAGTTCGCAGCATAAGTTGTTTCAACTACATTTTTTTTTAAATTCTATTCTGTTCGCAGTTTTTGAGCTGACTCAAGTGCCTTAATGTTTTCTTAATCACTTTGATATTTCGAACGAATTATCCATTGTTTATTACAGTTTAATCGTCTTTAAAGTGTCTGATGCGAATTATACTATACACGAAATGTACAATAATTTAATTTTAAGTCATAAAGATCAACATTACGAATAAGAGTATTCTCCGTCCAATACCGTCCACAAAATTTATATTATACTGAATTTTACAAGCCATCCAGATTTTTATACACAAACGTCTGAAAAAAGTATATATTTATTGTATTGTTTTTATATACTATCAGAATAATACACAGACATAGAAATATAAAATAAACACTTTTAAAACAAAACTTACTTTTAAATATAGATATAACTAAAACATCTCCATTTAAGCACAAGGCTTAAAAGCATATCAGCTATGCATATAAAATTATTGCATATTGCATGTGGATGATCAGTAGAAATATTGCGGGTCATTTTTAAAATGAAATTCACCAATTGGTCAATTTAAACGTCTCTAATGTGGTGAAATAGCGTGTGCCATCGACTCGTTGGTATTGGCATTTTCTTCTTCTTCGCTTTCATTCAGCTGGCACTGACACGCGTTGGTTTTATTTGGGCTACATTTAGTACAACAACAACCCGAAAACGGAAAGTAGTTTTGCGACTGGTTAGACTTTCAACAAGGATCTTGAGTGACACATTAATCGAGTCAGCAATTCAAATACAACATGTCTATTAATTTGCGCACCGTTTACGCATTTGCGAGAGAAATGTACCCAAAAATTTCAAAGGAACCCATACAGTACGGAACAGCTGGGTTTCGCGGCAAGTGAGTTTACAAGTGGTAACATACATAAGCTTAGCTACATACATAAATTACTTCATATATACAAGTATTTATGTATGTATGCCCACCCACACCCATCTAAATCAACAGAGACACACACACATGCGTATGTACATATGTATGTGTATGTTTTAGGGAGTGGTGAAGATGAGTAAGGCGAGTGCACTATTCTGGCATTCCAATTTATTTATAGAATTTCTTTCTTTATCAATGGACATGCACCTTTAAAGGTACCCAATCACTACATATACATGAGAAATTGATTTTTGTATAATTAAACTCGAAAGTAGAATAGCAAAATGAATTTTATATTAGTCAGCCCATGAATTTAACCTGCAATCACAAAAGATCGTCCCTGGTGGCGGCTTTTTTAAACATACATACATACGTACATACATACATACATATGCATTAATGTACATACATCTAGGCATACGTGCATGCTAGAGTCTTTGTCGAATGCACGAATTTGAAATGATAATCAAGACATCCGATCGTTGGCGATGAAATCGGAATTCAGAGAATCGCGTGTCCATTCATAATGCAAATAAAACAATGTCTGCATTTATCTTTATTTACTCATATGGTCCACTTTCTCTTGCGTTATATTACTATAATAATCGGATCTTCTTAAGATCAATTTGAATGTAAGCAATTTAAGAACTGTTGTTTTTCTTGAACAGAGCCGAGTTCTTGGACAGCGTAATGTTCCGTATGGGCGTACTCGCAACGCTGCGTTCCCGCTATCGGGAGGGCGCTGTCATCGGTGTCATGATCACAGCCTCGCATAATCCGGAGCCCGACAATGGCGTTAAACTAATCGATCCAAAGGGTGAAATGTTGGAGGCCAGCTGGGAGAAAATAGCCACAGATTTGGTGAACGTAAGCGATCAGGATCTGGAGCAGCATGTCGCAAAGATAATTAAGGACAATGAAATCGATGTAACCTCAAGCTCCTATGTCTACGTTGGCATGGACAATCGCTATCATAGCCCCCGCCTGCTGAAAGCTGTTGCGGATGGTGTTATTGCGCTGAAAGGAAATGTACGAGAATTTGGAATAGTCACAACGCCCATGATGCACTTCTTCGTGGTGGCAGCCAACACAAAGGAGGCCTATGGCAAGCCCACAGAGGAGAGCTATTACGAGAAACTCATTACCGCCTTTGAGAAACTTCGCAATGGTCAGCTGGAAAACGGCAACTATCGAAACCGTCTGATCTTCGATGGCGCAAACGGTGTCGGTGCCAGAAAAATGCTGCAGTTCATCAAACGCATGAATAGCTCGCTGGATGTGACAGTCATAAACCAGGGCATAGGAAACGGCAAAATTAACGAGCAGTGTGGTGCTGATCACGTCAAGGTGCAACAACGACCCCCCGTATCCATGCCCATAGTGGAACCCTATACACGCTGTGTGAGTGTCGATGGCGATGCCGATCGAGTGGTCTACTTTTTCAGCGATGAAACGGGAACGTTCAAGCTCCTGGACGGGGACCGGATCGCCACTCTTGTGGCTGGCTACTTAATGGACTTGATTAAAAGCTGCGAGCTGGATCTGCGATTGGGCCTGGTACAGACTGCCTATGCCAATGGGGCGTCCACAGATTACATTGTCAACGAATTGAAGGTGCCCGTGTCTTGTGTGCCAACGGGCGTAAAGCATTTGCACCACAAAGCCTTGGAGTATGATATTGGCATCTATTTCGAGGCCAATGGCCACGGCACCATTGTGTTCAGTGATAATGCTAAACAAACGATCGGCGAAGCAGCCAAGACCAAGCCCAGTGCAGAGACTTTACTGCTCGTAATAGATCTCATAAATGAAACTGTCGGTGACGCAATCTCCGATATGCTTTTGGTGGAGACGATCCTAAACCACAAAGGCTGGGACGTTAAGGACTGGATCTCTAGCTACACCGACCTGCCAAATCAACAGCTCAAGATACAGGTTCAGGATAGAAACGTCATCGAAACCGCGGATGCGGAACGTGTGTGTGTCAAGCCGGAGGGTCTACAGGAGGAAATAAACAAAGTCGTCTCAAATTATAAGCGTGGACGTGCATTTGTGCGTCCTTCCGGCACAGAGGATGTAGTACGTGTGTACGCCGAGGCTTCAACGAAAGAGGTGAGTGTATTTTCCACTCAAACCAATGGAATCATATTGATTTGATTATCTCTCGATTATAGAATACTCAGCAGTTGGCGTACGAGGTGGGACGATTAGTTCAAAAGCTTGCCGGCGGAATCGGACCGGAATTGGTTAACCCAAGCAATGCTCACTTGTAGTCAGTGTCAATAGGAAAGGCTCGTGAAGCTAGACATATGTGCTTGCGCATAATCTCGCACAGACTCGCATTTAACCAGCGTGCTTAATTGATAGACTTTACTCAAGCAATAAACTTAAACACAGCCTTAATATATACACTATCAATCACTTACAAATGCATTTATAATATAGTAATATACGCATAAGTGATTCATTTGTTGTGTTATAGTTTTTTATTAGATTGTTTTTTAATATAATTTACAATGATTACACTTTTAAAAACTGTTCAAATTGTCAGCCTTATTGTGCGAGACTTAATCTATGTAATTGTTAAAAGCTGTCGGGCTTACTAAACTATTAGATTCCGTTTTTTATAGACAATTCGAGAGATTTTCAATTCTTGCCAGATTCAACGTAACCGCAGACTGTTATCAATATTGAACCGTGGTTAACTCATCTTTATAAGACCGCGGCTTGTGTATTCTGTCTAAATTAAATTTGTTTATGTCTTAATCGTAAATGTTTTTTGTATTATTTTTTGTGTGAAATATACATACACACATGTATAACAAAATGTTGAAAATATGCGTATTACCAATTAATTAATGAGCTTATAAACTTTTTAACCAAAATGGAAATTAGGAAAATATACAAATATACACAAATAGACATATACAAAAGGATGCACTCAACATATTTATTTACTTAAGAACTGTTTTGTTGCGAACTGCATGACATGTTTAAATGCCCTTTGTGTATATTTATAAATAGGGTCGATTAACAATGAATGGTAACAAAAATGTAATATTTTTGAATACCTGTTACTAGAATAGCTCGTAGCATTTCTTTATTATTACGCAGTTTTTTTTTAAACAGCTGCGGCATTTAAAACAAATTGCTTTGTGCCTAGGCCATATAAAAGCGAACTTAACGAGTGCTCAAATTAGTTCAACAGGAGTTTGCGAATCCCACTGAAATGAAGTTCTTCTTGTTATTGGCGTGTCTGGCACTTTATGTGGTCCACATCCAGGCCCAGCGCTTCTGCGTTGGCCGTCCAGGTAAGCACTTGTCGTAAGTTGATATATCCTCAATATAACCTCTGACTTTCGTTCTTACAGTAACCCAGGTCTGCACTGGCCCCAGAGATATTGGCCACAATCGTAATAGCGCCTGTCGCAATTTCGCCATGAGAGAAATGTGGTACTACGATGGGCGTAGGCGTGCCTGTTTCAAGCAGAACTATCTTGGCTGCGGTGGCAACGGGAATCGCTACTGTTCAAATGCCGATTGCAGAGCCAAGTGCAGGCGTTAAAATAAACAGTTGAAAACTACACGAATACCTCAATAAAATGCTTGCCTACATCTACATATACATATACATATATATAAAAATGTTTGTACTTAATGATTGACTGATAACAGATCAGTGCGCCGCCAAAGGCATTAAGCTAGAAATTTCTTACTGTAGTTTGGCTATTGATGGCAACTATTTGTATGTATATATGTATGCGCATACGTGTGTTCGTATGTAGAGGCCAGAGATTTCACCGAGTTTTGGGCGTGGCAAACTTTGAGCTATGTCAAAATAAGTAATTTGATTTTATCACTTTTACATCAATTTTGACCAAGAATATTTTTGATATGTATGCTTGTACAAATATGTGAATGTATGTATGTATGCATGTCTGTAAGTATGTATTTACGTATGCAAGTGTGTGTGCTTACGTATCCATGAATGTTTTCTTTAACTTAACAGTCTTAGTCTAAACTACTACTGCGCTACGCCTTTAAATTTAACGAATTTTTAGGTGCTCTCCTCCTCGATTCTCAAAAATTTAAGTAGGCCTTGCTGAAATTCAACAAGACAGGGACTTTGGCTCCAACGGCCGGTGGAGGAGCAGCTGGAGGAGGTGGAGCTGGTAAGTAGGTATGTGTATGTAGATGTATGTATGTATGTAGATGTATGTATGTATGTAGATGTATGTAGATGTATGTATGTATGTAGATGTATGTATGTATGTAGATGTATGTAGATGTATGTATGTATGTAGATGTATGTATGTATGTAGATGTATGTATGTATGCAGATGTATATATGTATGTATGTATGTAAGTGCATGTAGGTGATGTATGCATATATGTAGATGTTGTATGGTTGTATGTATGTAAATGTGTGTATGTATATACGCACATATGTATGTAAGTGTGTATATACGCATATATTTGTATGTGAGTTTTCTCACTAAGTTTCGCTCAAATTTATTTAAAATGCTATTTCGTTTGGATGTAAGCATACATACTTATGTAGGTTGTTATATGTGTGCTTATATAGGAGCGCAGCGGTAGTTCAAATTGGTCTATGCTCGATCTTTGTATTATTTTTAACTTTTAACTTTTTGAAAAAAGCTAATTCAGAAATGAGTGTGACCTACCAATATAAAATATACTAGCAAAGAATTATTTGAGAGTTGCAATGTGTGCTCCTATCGATTACTAAAGATTATTTATCGATAATAAAGCAACATCCCCTCAGCAAAGCCGTCATACTGCCCTGCTGTCACTAAAGTATAAATTTTCTGATGCAATTTGCTCCATAAAATAGCGTAAATTTTAAATTGTTCTCTCATTCTTTGGGCGAAAATAATTCAATATGGAAGGCGAAGACGTAAGTTTCTCAAAAAATAGTGAATTGCGAGTGTTGGTCATAATGATATGTATATGAGGAGATCGTACATTGTGTTTCGTGTGTGTGAGGTTATGTGGCGCATATGGAGCTCAATTTACATTTGCATACATTTCACCAACTCTCCCAAACATTTCCTGTGTATAAATTGTCTAACTCGTCCATTTGAACACTTGGGAAATGTATTTTAGGGTTTCGACCCCACTTTGTTAAAAAAGAAGAAGAAGAAGAAGACCACTTTTGACCTGGATGCCGCATTGGGACTGGACGATGCAGCAAAAAAAGAAGATCCTAAAGATGAAGCAACCGTTGATGCAACAGCAGCTGAACTGGACGATAATCTTGACTTAGAAAGCTTCGGTAAAAAGAAGAAGAAAAAGAAGAAGCCTTTTAATTTAGATGAACTGGAGGGGGCGTTGCCTGATGGAGCTGACGACGTCACGGCCGCTGCAACAGAAGACCCTGAGGAGGAAGAGATCAATTTGGACATGGACTTTACAATGGCCAAAAAGAAGAAGAAAAGCAAAAAGAAAGACTTGGATGAGTTGTTCGCCGACAAAGTGGATGATGATAAAAGCGAAGACAAAGAGAACTGTAAGTTTGTCATATCCTAAATGAAAAGTGTGCATTTCTAAAAATTTGCTTTGCTTACTTTGCAGTTGAGGATAACAGCAGCACCTGGGCTGGTTCTGATCGCGATTATACCTACGACGAGTTACTGAAACGCGTCTTCGAAATTATTCTGGACAAGAACCCGGACATGGCTGCAGGCCGTAAACCGAAGTTCGTTATGAGACCACCTCAGGTTCTGCGTGTGGGCACGAAGAAAACGTCGTTTGCCAATTTCATGGACATTGCGAAAACTCTGCATCGCTTACCAAAACATCTGCTAGACTTTTTGCTGGCCGAGTTGGGCACAAGCGGATCTATGGACGGCAATCAGCAATTAATTATCAAGGGTCGCTTCCAGCCAAAACAGATTGAAAACGTGCTGCGTCGCTATATTAAGGAGTATGTCACCTGCCACACGTGCCGCTCGCCGGAGACAATATTGCAAAAGGACACGCGTTTATTCTTTCTTCAGTGCGAATCCTGCGGTTCTCGTTGCTCAGTTGCTAGCATTAAGTCTGGTTTCCAAGCTGTCACAGGCAAGCGTGCCGCCATTCGAGCAAAAACCACATAAATTATGTGTATATTTTCAATTTGATTTTTTATTGAGTAAAATTTCAACATATAAATATACAAAATTGCAATTATGAATATTAAGTAGCCCCATGGGACTGGTAGTAATCTATCAAATTGTCATTGAATGCGATCTCCAGCTTCCGGGACTTCTCGTTGTCCACAGTAAATGAGATAACATCGAAGACATTTTTGTCCCTGAACCTGTTTGGGCGTCCATATAGCAATACATTATTTCCGGGTAATATTACAGATCCATCAATGTATTCCAACGCTTTGCCCAAAAGTCGCACCATGCTTGCCGATACCCTTTCGTATTGAAGTCCCGCGGTTCCTACCAGGGAATTAGCTTCGTTGTAAAGACGTTTAATAAGTTCGGACTCCTTTGGCTTAACATAAATACTAAACTCCATTGTCCCAGTTCCATCGTCGATTATGTACTTGTAAAACGATTTGTTATGGACACCCCGACCTGCGACAAACCCGTACACCAGGCAGGTACGATACTTCAGTGTGGTCGGATTGAAAACCGTGAACACTCCCTTATCGTCTGGATCTGGGGACGAGCCTAATATATCATTTACAAGTAATGGTATATGCTCATGAATCTGCTGGCCATCCTTTGTTTCCTTTCGTGCAGCCGCATAAGTGTTTACTTGCTCTCTTGGTTTTCGTATGATAAAATTATCAAGCTGATCCTCAATATCTTCGGATGTTGGGCTTGTCATATCGAAAACAAGAACATTTTTTTTAAATAGTCTATTATTACATATATATATTTTTAAATTTATGCTTCAGAAATGCCCAGCTATCGACTTTATGTTCCCTAGATAATCGATATATTGCATATGCCATTCACACTAGTTCCGGTTCATCTCTAATACCTAGATTGATGCCAAACTGTTATATATGCTAGCAAGTGTGTGTGTGTGTAATTAAATGAAACACGGGATTCTATTTAATTTGATTATTTTTATTATATTTAACCAATTCGAAACCCACTTCAATAGATGTATATACATATTAGCCTTGATTCAGTGATATGCGCCATCCCTTGAAACGCAGTATTATTTCACCATCCCTCGTCAGCATTTTCGCATATTGTGAAATTGTAGTAAATATTAATTTTTTGGAAACCCAGAAAACTAAAAGCCATGTCTGGTGGTCCGGCAATAACGCTGAAAAGCCAACCAATAGATGGAAGCAATAGCAATAGTGGAAATGCCGCTGGCCAACAACAGCAATCGGGGAATAACGCCGCGGCAGCGTCTTCCTCCTCGTCACAGGGCTCGGGTGGAACTGTGCCACCAGCCCAGGAGGGCACACGCCAAAACAGCTTGCAGCGTATACAGCAGCGAAAGCAGAAGGTATTCAATCTGCCAGAGGCACAAAAACTGGCTAAATTATCAATGTATTCTGCGTGCCAAGCCGAGGGCTGCCGTTGCACTGGATGGAAGACGCCACAGGAGAACAGGCATCGAGATGTCGAGTCGTCCTACTGTCCGGAGCTGAGTGAAGAGTGTCGCAACGCTAGTTGCCGTCATCCGCTGCGGTCTCACATCTCTCATCTAACTGAGATCTCAAGGACAAGCATGGACGACCTCTTGGGCGCAATCATCGATATGGAAAACCTATTTATGTCCATGCAGCGCGTAGAGGACGAGGACACTAAAAAAGTGTATTTGTATTTGTTTAGGCTGCTCCGTCAATGCGTCCTAACACGCCAGCAGGCTGTTATTCGAGGTCCCTTGGGAGATCCTCCATTCGAGTCGCCGTGCATTTCGAAGGCCGTATTGTCCTTGGTTTTCTATAAGTACAACCACTTGAACCCGACTGAGCTGCAGACCATGACGGAGGTGGCCAAGACATTCCTAAACTTCCTCAACCATTACAACTTTGAGTCGCCTTCGGTACGCCGTAGCGATGCCACTTTGACTCACGAGGACGCCTCAACCTATAAGATCAATTATACGCGCTGGCTTGTGTTTTGCCATGTGCCCGCCTTTTGTAACTCCTTGCGGCAGTTCGAAACATCTTTGGTATTTGGACGAACTCTTCTGCGAACTGTGTTTCAATATATGTCGCAGCAGCTGAAAAAGAAGTGTATTTCTGAGCGTGATCGCTTTCCCGAAGACAAGAGGTCGATCATCACGCAAATGCCAAAGTTCTTGGAAGCATTGAGAGCCGAATTGCTGAAAGATGATTCGCCCATATGGGATTCCAGTTATAGGCCACCAAATTCATTTGTCATGCAACAAAGAAAGCGTCATCAGGAAGTGGCACCCCCAGCGACCATTTCAAGTGCTGGTGCCGCATCTGCTCCGAGCAGTAGTAAACGCTCAAGCGTTGGAGAACCAGCCCATAAGAGGGCCAAAAAAGAGCCTGTCGAACGGGTTCCCAGGTAAGGCTCCAAATAAAATAGGAAAAACATTTCTTATGAAAACCTTTATTTTCGTTTTGATCGTATCTCTATATTATTTATATTCTATTTCTAATTTTGTGCAGCGAGAATTTAGATGACCTTCCAACCGATGTAGTTTTGCGAGCCATGAAATCCGTTTCGGAGTCGAAAACCACAAATAAAGCTGAAATTTTGTTTCCCGTCAATGTGTCGCGCGATGAAAATGTGAAGGCCGAAGAGCAGAAGCGCGCCATAGAGTTCCATGTTGTGGGCAATTCGCTAACAAAGCCCGTGGATAAGCAGACAATCCTTTGGCTTCTGGGACTGCAGCTTGTGTTTGCGCATCAGTTGCCCGAAATGCCACGTGAATACATAAGCCAGCTGGTTTTTGACACCAAGCACAAGACCTTGGCGCTAATCAAGGAGAACCAACCAATTGGAGGAATATGCTTCCGCCCATTTCCCACCCAGGGCTTCACAGAGATTGTATTCTGCGCGGTCACAATGGCGGAACAAGTGAAGGGATACGGCACACATCTGATGAATCACTTAAAGGATTACAGCATACAGCGTGGCATTAAGCATCTACTTACGTTTGCCGATTGTGATGCCATAGGGTATTTTAAGAAACAAGGGTTTTCCAAGGACATCAAACTGGCACGTCCCGTCTATGCGGGATATATCAAGGAATATGACAGCGCCACGCTTATGCACTGTGAGCTGCATCCAAGTATTGTGAATACTCAATTTATTGCTGGTCAGTTGGCTTGACAGCATTTTTATGGGATTGCCAATTAACAGATTAATTTTGTTCTGGTTTGTAGTTATTCGGAATCAAAGTGAGATCCTGAAGGAGCTCATTGCTCAGCGACACAATGAGGTCCAAAAAGTTAGGCCTGGCTTAACATGCTTCAAAGAGGGATTGCCATCTATACCAGTTGAATCTATACCGGGTCTAAGAGAAATCGGCTGGAAACCGCAAATGCGTCCAGTGCGTGCCTCCCGTCCCTTGGAAGAATCTACTGATCCGGAAAAACTGGCCAATTCTTTTCAATCCGTATTACAATCTGTGCGCCAACACGCCACAGCATGGCCATTCCTACGACCTGTCACTGCAGCCGAAGTTCCCGACTACTACGATCACATCAAATACCCCATGGACTTGAAGACAATGGGCGAACGTCTGAAAAAAGGTTATTATCAAACACGTCGCTTGTTTATGGCAGATATGGCACGTATTTTCTCAAATTGTCGCTTCTACAATTCTCCCGACACTGAGTATTATCGCTGCGCCAATTCGCTCGAACGTTATTTCCAAACCAAAATGCGAGAACTGGGCTTATGGGACAAATGATGCGACGACCCTATTTATATTGCTTGAACTGAGTAAATTAGTTACATATTATATATACATGAATATAACCATCTAGGTATTTCTGTCTCCGGGAAACTGAACGATGTGCAGTGTTGTATTCATTTTATACAAGTGCTTACATTCAAGTTGTAAAACATCTTCCGACAGAAGTACCTAATGTGAAACTCTTAATAATTATTTATTCTTAGAATAGTTAATCTGAATTATTTACTGCTGTCAACATATAAATTATAGATCTTTTATGTTTATGTTCATATGTATAATTTCGAAAATTATGTTTTTAGACCGAAACGGTTTTTGTATCGCAAGCAATCGCAAGTTTGTTCCCACAAATGATGATGCACTCAATCAAAACGATTGCGACAAACTATAAACTGTAATATAGACTTTTGGGAATATGTTTCCATTATGTTGGCCTAAATTCACATAAAACTGTAAAACGGAAAGCTCAATGGATTTAATAAAATAAATATTGGAAAACTATTACAAGTAACCTTAAAAATTGTTTGCAAGCACAAGCAAAGGGAAATATTTTTCTAAAAATTAAACGGCAAACTATAAGTCAGTCGCATACCACTATCTTGATTATTGTGCTTAAGGCTTAGGTGATATGATATCCAATCAGTTCAAGTTCGTTTGCTTTATGATTAATCCTATGCTAGTTGTCATAGAAAATTATTCTCTATCCAATTACAAGTACACGCCTATATGTTATCAAAAGCACCAACAAGCATGCGAGTATTATTTCTATTTACGCAATTGAACAAACCCTGCCGAATCCTTGCAAACAGTTTATCTATTGAAAAATATTACTCTTTCTTTACTTATAAGCGACATATACATATATAAACATATACCTAGTTTCATACATGATTTGTGCTCAACATAGAATTAACGTGTACGTCTTAGCATTGATCAATATATATAAAAAAAGAACCCGCCATATTGATCTTTAAGGGAAAGTTTAACATGGGTATATTATTTTGCTCTGAATTTAATATGAATTATATGGCTTATTTATATGAAACATTTACAAAAACATTTTTGATGTACAATCCGTGGAGTATTCTCGTAACATCTCCATTCAATTCCAGCTACTCGACACAAATTTAAAGTATAATGTTAACTTTTAAATAAATCATTTTAAAATAAGATCATATAAATCGGAATCTTACGCGAATATCCACAATGCGTGGCTAACAACTATTAATTGTGGTAAATTGAGATATTGTGCATTCCTGGATAACAGAATATTTTCTCTTGCTGCGATCATTGAAGGCTGTTGGCTAAATACATAATTGGTGTTCACATGTTTAAGTAACATAATTAATAATATATATTTAAGCTCCCCACAGGAAACGCATACTACACACTATTTGACAGTTTTTGGCTATAGACACTGAAAATGATCGAAAATTTAACTAATTTCTGAAAGACACGCTTTAATTGTTCTGGGTTTTCGCTTTTTATGTAAACAATCAGTTTTAAGTAAATTTATTTGTTGCCCACACTACTACTGATAGGTGTTTTATTTTTTACAATTTTTGTTTTTTCTTTTTTTGTGTTCAATATATGTACGTGTTGCTGCTAATTTTAATATATATGCATGTATTTCCATTTTCTCCATCATTAAAATTTGTTCTTAAAAAAGTTTAAATGCTAGTAACGCTTTGAATTAATTAATTTATGTTATGTTGTATGCCCACATTAATTATAGTTGTAGGCCCTTTTTTTTCTTGTTTTAAAATATAAACATGCGAGTTGCGTTTGCTTTTATTAATGTTGGGAATTCCATGGATTTAATTGTTTCTTTCTTTAATTTCATAATTTGCGACTCCTAGAGTTTTTCTTTAACTTTTCATAGACTTATGCTTAATGTTTCTTCACATTTATTACTAAATATATGTAGAGGTGTGTATGTTCTCACTATAATCATGTGCTGCATCACTATTGCCGTTCAGCATACCATTTACACAAAAACCTATTTTTATGGCTGCTGAACGCTTTTGATTGATCTTATGAATAGCAAAGCAACACGGTGGGCGGGCAAAGTGCGCGCAGGACGTCATGAGCGTTACAACACTAAGTAAAATTTTACAATTATTCTGTTTATGCCATTATTAGTTCCATAATCGATTCTTCATGATGATAAGAGCCTTTTTGTCGTCGATCGGTCGGTCGCTTGATTAGGTTGCATTCGGGTAAACTAGCTTTGCAATGAGTAGGACTGTTTTTAGATTTTGTAAAGTTAGGCAAGGAAACTCCACGCATGCGACATTATTGAGCTGCAATATTAATAAGAATTAAGGTCACGTTGTTGATGGAACCTATATGTGATTGGGTACTTACAAACTGCCGCCACCTGTTGCGTCTGCTCTGTAATTGTAGACGTGGCCGTCTTCGTTGTTGCGGCATTGGGTGCCGTGGTCTCTGTATTGTTGCCCGTACCGGCACCTCCTGCATTGTTGGCAGCTTTCAGAGCTGCGGCTGCGCTGCCATTTCCATTTGTTATATTGTTCTGGCGGTTTCCGCCATTATTGTTACGATTGTTGCTGCGGTTACGAAAGTTGCCGCCGCCGCCCATGCGATAATTGTTGCGATTATAGCCAGGTGCACCGCCGTAGCCAGAATTCATGCCACCATTGCCGGCTCCTCCGCCCATCGTGTTGCCATTGTTGTAGTAATGGTTGCGCCCTCGGTAGCTATTAAAACTGACACATTAAACCTTTTTAGGAGACAGACGAAGGGCAATCCTGCAACTTACCTGCCACGTCGGGTGGACGAGACTCCGAATGTCTCGGTATTCAATTTGCGCTCCTGACGCCAGTCGTTCTTCTTGTTCTTGCTGCGATCCTGAGCCGCCTCGCACGAAATATTGTCAAAGAATGATTTGGTCTTATCGTAGCCCACATGAACATCCTCATCCTCGGGCTCATGCTCGCCAGCGCCGGTCTCATTGCCAGAGTCATCCTTCTTGTCGGTCTCCCCATTCAACTGTGCAAAATTAAAGATTGGGCACAATTATGTCCGTGTCAAACAAATAGATTTTGTGTGTTGAGTGCATTGTTTTAAATGTTTAACATGTTTTTTTTTTTTAGCGGTTGAATTATTAAACTAAAACTTAAATTAACTTAAAATAATAAACAAAATAAAACAAACTTATACCTGATCAGTAGTGGTAGAAGTTGTTGTTGTGGTTGTGGCTGTTGTTGTAGCTGTGGTTTTGTTGGGTTCGTCGCCCACCTTGAGTTTCGCCAGTTGTGAACGCAGCTCTTCAAACTTATTGTTTGCCTGCTCGAAATCAAAGTCGCCCTCAAATTTGATCTTGTTGCGAGGTTTATTCTGATTAGCCGATTGTGGACGATAACCCTGCTAAAAGTTAAAAAAAAAAAAAAGAAAAACAGAATTAAACATTAATATTTATGCCGACTGCAAAAGCAACAGCTGAGGAAAGCTGTCAGATCGAATCGGTCGCATGAATGTGCAAAGAATTAGATCATTTAATTTGGATTATACAAATATTTTCTGTTTTCAGCTCTAAGAAAGTACAGATTTGTGTACATCTATTTAGCTAATTGTTATTATCTTTAGAAAATGTAGTTTATTAACTGATTCAGCTGATAAGATTTTGATACTCTCAAAAAATGAATACGCTGCAGCTGCCCAATGACAACCAGATGGTAGTCAACTATACAAATTGCTTTATAATATATCATTCTCTTTGCATGTGCTGAACGGAACTTTGGACGGTTGAAATATGTATTTACCTGATTGGGTCGCATTGGGCCACGAGCACCCATGCCGCGATTGCCGCGCATCATCATATTGTTCGAATTCTGTGGACCACCACGGTGCATGTTCCATGCGCCATTTCCTCCATTGCCACGCTGTTGGATGGCACCGCCAACTCCCCCACGATTACGTTGATTATTATAATTGTTGTAATTGTTATCCATTTGACGGCCAGAATCACGGCGATCGCGCTGCTGCTGCTGCTGCTGCTGGGGGTGGGGATGATTGTAATAGTCGTTATTGTGGTTGTGGTTATTCCTCTGCTGTTGCTGCATATTGGGTCCCCCTCTCTGCTGCTGCTGCTGTTGTTGCTGTTGCTGCTGCTGCTGATGGTTTTGGCGCTTATGACCGGCATCGCGCGCATTACCACCGCCGAGAGCTTGCACAGAATTCTGCTGCTGATGTAACTGCTGCTGCTGTTGCTGGGAGTGCTGCTGGGTCAGGTCGGCCGTTGGACTGATAATGAGGCTAATAGGCGTTGTCGAACGCGAAGCGCTCGCTAGCATATCTAAAACGGAAACTTTACATATAGACGGGAACGTGCATATATGTTCATATATTAGCTGTGTGTATGTATGTGTGTGTGTGTGTAGATGTAAGTGTGGCGCAAGAAATAACTTCAAATAACATGTAAGCCCAAGTGGCAAATATTTCTGTTTGAAATTATTTAATGGCTTTTCGTGTGTTGCTTGCATTAAATGATTGCTGAACCTTACTTTGTTTTGGCTGCTGCTGGGGCTTTTGTTGCTGCTGCTGCTGTTGCTGATTGCCACCTATGTTCATAAACGGCCCTCCGCTGCCAGGTGCTCCGGCACCAGGAGCCAAAGAGCCCGGACCAAGACTGGGAGCTCCTAAGGCGCCAAATGGATTACCATTTCCAAAACCACCGCCGCCTGGTGCTCCGGGTGCACCTCCACTGCCTCCAGCCATCGATGGACCACTGTGCTGCGGTTGCTGCTGCTGTTGTTGTTGTTGTGGCGCATTCATTGGGAAATGTTGTGGCATTACCTGTGGGCCGTTCTGCAATTGTGCCTGCATTATGGCCGGATCATTGTGGTGCGGCAGCGTATGGTTGTTCACAACGCGAATGTCTTTGATGTCAGAGCCGCGAAATAGGATATAATCGTAGATCTGCGACTGCGGTGCTATTTGAAACTGGGTGTCACGGTCCTCCGTTCCAAAGGAGCGCACTGTTTACAAAAAAAACACAAGCTTAGTTTGGGCGCAATTTCTCGTCTAACCTCAATATGTTTGAAGCATATACATATGTAAGTGAACTTTTGTATACATGTATTTTTCGTACTGTACATAAGTACAGATATACATGATGTGTAGTGTGCAAAAATGCGGCAAGACATGGATATACAATTGATTGTTGAAAGTACAGTGTACAGTGCTTGCTTTTTGCTATATATCTTTACAAAAATATGATTTATGTGTTACTATTAAATTAACATAGTAATAACTTTGATTCTAAGATGTATGTAATTAAGTTATTTGGCCGCATGTTTCCCTTAGTCCATTTTTATTACTGCCTTTACTAACGGTAGTTGCTGTAGGAAGCATTGCCACATAATCCGTTAATTGGCGCTGGCGCCAAAAATGGGGTTTGCCAGCAAATTGTAAACGAACACACACGTACAAATTGCAATCTGTCTACACATTTATTTTGATGTAAATGTATACATTTGTGCATATATGTACATGCACTATATGCATATGTATATATGTACATATACACAGGCGTACATATGTATGAAATTTTGCGCGTGCATGGGGATGCAAAAGCAACACTGTACAACCCGAAGCTCTATCTGTGCCGACAGCATCTGAGCTTCGACAACATGACAAACAAAAAGCACAAGAGAGAGTGCGAGAGAGAGAAAGAGCTAAAGCGAGAGAGTGGGAGAGCGAGTTGGCTATTGCCGTGTGGCCGCCCGCTCTTTGCGCGATGAGCAGCATATTACTGTAAAAACTAACTGAAGCAACCAAAAACGTGAACAAAAAATTTTAAAGAAACCATTTTCTTTTTAGTACTCGCCTTTGCATTTTACCGTTTTAGTTTTACAGCATAGATATACATGCATGCATATATGTATATACGAATGTATGCGAGTATTTCCACATGGATAAAGGAAACACGAATGTGTAGGCATATATACATATTTATATAGACATATATATATATATATATTTGGGATATTACTTACCACTCGACAGAGCAATTGTACACTCCTGTGGATCCACCGTATACAAGCGGCCTTCATATCTAATGTCAGCTTTCGAAATTAGGCTGATCTTCGAGCCCAACTCCGGTAATCCGCCACTCATGTTGGATTCTAACTGTATCACTGTATGACGCGCGTGTCAAATCAAATATTTTTTTCACCAATTTTACGAAAAATTGTTTCTGCTTATGGCCGACAATTGTCGACGAATAGAATAATCAAGTAAAGCAAACAATTATAGCGAGCGCGACGTTGCCCCGTTTCCGAGCGAGTGTTGCCTGCTGCGCTGCAGTTTCAACCTTTCGACGTTGACAAGCACGCAATAACTTTCTATTTCCAGAGTAAATTTTCAACTTTCTATAGGCAGATTTTTAATACAATATAAATAGAACACAATTTGAAAATTATATCAAATCAAATGGATAAATTAGTAAAAATGTTGATTTTTTTGCAATTCGTAATGTGGAAAATTTTTTCACCTTCCGTCTGCAAAAACCTACCCGTCGAAAGTGGAAGATGATCGAACGAGCAAGAACACTCGCTACCCAATATAGTGTTGTAAAATATTCAGAGATGGGGCTGCATCATTTTAAATTATTTTTCATTCTTAAAACACATGATTATAAAATAAAATAATTAAGTAATATCTATATGAACACCGAATTGTTAATTTATTCACTATTATCATCATGAACCAAGCAATTTAAATTGAAAAATTGGCTAAATATTTTAGAGGTGACAACACTGGCGTATTCCTTGCAGCCCTGCGTTTGTCACCGCGTTTAACATTCAAAACGTTCGATTCCTAACAAAGCGTCGCTTTTATTTTGTCGATGGCATCAGCCAAATAAATACTTTGTATTTGGCGGCTCAAATACTTTTTAATTACACAGAATCAATATGCCTCCACAACGCGAGCCAATAAGTGTGCGTACAACGCGACTCAATAATCTTATACTAGGTAAAGGAGTTGGCGCCGTACAGAAACCCTCTTCAAGCGCTTCAAGGCGCAGCATTGTGCCTGTAACCACCGTAAGTGCAGCTGTCGCAGAAGCCATCTGTCGGGAGGGATTGCTGGACGCATTCTGTCTGTTGTACAATGAGTGCGACAAGGAGACGCTGAAGAAGCGCGACCGTAATATAGCGGAATTTGTAAATAAATGTAAGTGTTCCCATTTATGAAATGTGGTATGTCATTTATATGACTTCGCCTCTTTAGTTCGTCCTATTATTGAGGAAACCCGCCAGCTGCGGGTAAATGCCGATGATTTTGTCATCAAGGCCCTCATTGGAAAGGGCTTTTTTGGCAATGTCCACTTGGTGCTCGAACGTCAAACGTCCGATGTCTATGCCATGAAAAAGATTAAGAAGTCAATGGTGACCACATCGCAGGTGGAGCGCGATATAATGTCCCAAAGGAACTCTGAGTGGATAACCAATTTACAGTACGCCTTTCAGGTACGTTTAAACCAAACAGGCCCAAATTGTTTTTGTTTGATATACATAATGTATTTTCAATGATTCTTCCAAAGGACAATGATCACTTGTACTTGATCATGGAATATCTACCTGGAGGCGATCTTCTGAGCTTAATGTCGCGTCACGGACCTTTTGATGAAGATCTAGCGCGTTTCTATTTAGCCGAACTAACGTTGGCTTTGCACACGCTGCACCTGATGGGCTACGTTCATCGCGACATTAAGCCGGAAAACATTCTGATCGATCGCTTCGGTCATATTAAATTGGCAGACTTTGGAAATGCTGCTGCCTTGGATCGTGATGGTCATGTCTTGAGTCTCTCGCCAGTTGGTACACCGGACTATATTGCGCCGGAGCTGTTGCAAACCATATCAACCTATAAGCTGTCAAAGTCGATGCATGACGTGAGTGTTATTGTACGATTTTCCATTCAATATGCAACTCGAACATGAAATATTACGCAGAAATAACATGTCCGTTTATATGAAAATAACTATGAATATCCAGCTCATCCAGTTTGGATTAATATAATTAGTTTAAAGCGTGGTAATAACTTATTAATTTTCCCCAACAGGTTAGCTGCGATTACTGGTCCATGGGAATTATTGGCTATGAGCTTATATGTGAGATTACGCCGTTCCATGAGGACAACGTGCATGAGACGTACTCAAAAATACTTTCCCACTGCGATGATAGCCTTTTGAAAAAGTTAATTAGCTTCCCGAGTGATCTGAAAATATCTAGCAATATGAAACATCTCATCGGATCGTTGGTAACGAACCCAACGAATCGGCTTTCCTACGATCAAATTATCAAACATCCGTTTTTCGAAAGCATCCAGTGGAGCACAGTTCGTTCCCAGATGCCTCCCATTATACCCACTATCAAGTCGGATGATGATATCTCAAACTTTGAAGACGGCATAAGGCACAAAGCCCGCCGAGAACAGCAAGCCAAAAAGTCATTGACCTCGAACATGAAGTCGAACGATTTTAGTGGCAAGGACTTGCCCTTTATTGGATACAGTTTCGTTCACATGGAAGATGATTACAGTACAGTCGATGTGTCGGAGACAGCACGCACGGCTAAGCTGCAGGAAAAGCTGCGGAATCTGCAACAAAAGCTGAAGTCGCGTGAAACTGAAATTGTAATGCTGAAGCAGGATCTGATAAGGGCCCAGCAAACTCTTAAGCAGACCGATGGTAAATCGCAAGTGGTCCTTGAGGCCAAAGTGGAAATTAAGAAGCTACAGGACATTATTAAGGAGAAGACAATGGAGCTTGCCAGCTGCAAGACCCAAATCAAAACTTTGCAGAGTTCAGCAAAAATTGATGAAGAAATGTGGTCAAAAAAAGAAGCCACAATCACAGACTTGCTGCGCCTGAATCGGCAAAAGTACGAAGAGGCAAAAATCGCATCCGAGCAGAGATACGAGAAACAACTGGCGGAGAAAAAGCAAGAACTGGCCTGCACAGTGCAAAAGTTGGATGCGCGTGAGCTGGAGTTTAATGCAAAAGTTGATGAATGTAAGCATCTGGGCGACAAGCTGGAGAACTACAAGGAAATGCTGAAGCAATTAAAGGAACAAAGTGTCAAGGCTGAGTCCAACCATGAGAATCAAAGGACTCAGCTAACAGAAAACTACGAGCAAAAGCTGTCGGAGCTGCGCCAAAAGCTACGCGAGTCACAGGATACTCACCGCCGCATGACTTTCGAACTGCAGAGCATACGCAGCGAACTGGACGAGTCAATAAGCTCTGGGAAATCAAGCCAAGAGGCTAAACATGCCACTGAGCGCAGCATCGAAGACATACTACAGCGTCTCAACTGTGAGATAAGCGCAAACAACGAGCTACGTGCGGCTAAAGCTTCCCTAGAGACTCAGCTGAATCTTGCGAAAAAGGAGAGCCTGGAAGCACAAGCAGAGTGCCAGCGCTTGGACCGCGAGCTTCAGGTATGGAACATTTCATTTATTTTGTTTTCCAACTATCAATATGCTTTAAATAAAACTGGAAATTTTATATTTAAACTTAGAGCTTAGGCATTTGAGCTGTGGGAATTGTCATAATTAACACATCCATTTCTAAAATTGATTTATGAAACATCAATTCTGCCCTGTATTCTGTCTTCTTTAAAATTATGATGTCAAAATTATTGACATGTCATTAGAAAAAAATTCAGAAGATAAGAAGAAGTCTTAAATGCTTTTCCAAGCTACAACGAATTAGTATACGTGATTAGGGCGGTTTCTAAATAAGGCAATAAATTTATATATATTATTTACTTAATATTGTTTGATATTAAACACAGCTCGCTGAGTGCCGTTGCAACATAGCCGAATCATCTCTCGCGTCTCATGCCTCACCGTATGAAACGGCACCCGGTTCACTAACAGAGCTGCATGCTATTGAGGATCAATTGCGTGCTGACCTAGTGGCCGCCAAGGATGCCGAATCTGTGCAAAAGAGTCGTGCTGATCAACTGCAGGAACTGGTCACAAAGCTAGAGAGGATGCTCGAACGTTTCAACGAGCAAAGCCTGTCGCCTATTAAAGGTCATCCGGGCGCAGCGAACAGCGCCGTTGGCGATATGCTGGAGCGTCAAAATGAAAAACTGGAGGATAAATTAGCAGCGGTGCGAGAACAGATGATTGTGGAGCGGCAGGCAGCACGTACGGCCAACTTATCGCTCTGGAAGGTGGAAAAGCAATTGGAGGAGGCGCTCTCGGAAAAGAAGATGCTGGCGCGGCGCATGGAATTGACAGAAGAGCGTGTCAAGAAAGCGCAGAATGAACGCGAAGAGGCCCAACGTGCGCTGAAATCTGCGCAGGATGAGTATCGTCAGCGTGATGCACGAATTGATGAACTGAAGGCCGAATTAGCAGCCAGCAAACGCGATGTGTTAAAGGAACACCGCATGTGGGAGAAAGCCGAGGAGGAGCGCATGAAGTGCAAGTCTGAAGTTATCGAGCACCTGGCAAACGTTCATAGGCTGGAGCAGCAGGTCAGAGAGGTGCGCCAGAAGCTTCATCAATCTCAGCTACGTTGCGACGGCCTAGGACTAGAACAGAAGAGACTGCAGCGGGAGCTGCAAGAGGAGCGAGATCGCAATGCTGCAGTTGGAGAAGGCACTCAGGCATTACAGGCAGAACTAAAGCAGCTAAGTGACAATTTTCAGCGCCTAAAATACGCGTGCAGCATAACCGATAACCAGCTAACAGAGGTGGAGTCCATGCTAGAGGCAGAGCAGCAGCGAAACAAAACACAGCAATCTCAGCTGGATGCATGCCATGTCAAACTTCGCGAGCGTAATGATCAGGTGACCGAGCTGCGCAAAGAATTGAATGTGCAGGAGTCCGGCAAGCGTCAAGCCGAGCAACATGCCAAAATTCTTACGGTCGAATTGGAGGAGCTAAAGGAGAATCTTAAGCAGTTGCAGATGAAACTAATCACACAGCAGAGTCAGCTGGTCGAGCAGACGAACGCGCTGTTTGGCGCCCAAGAGCGCGCAGATCAGTTGGATGTGCAAAGCGCCAGTTGCCAAGCGCAGAACGCAGACTACGAGCGTGAGCTGCTCAGTCTGAAGGAGGAAAATGCTCGCATACTGAGTGAGTTGTTCCACAGTAAGGAGGAGGTGCTACATTTACATGCCGAGGTGAAGAATCTGCAAACCGTTCAGTCGGGACTCCACACAGAGATCGATGAGCTGCAGAATGCACTCACGGAAAAAGAACAGTTCTACGTGCAGCGGGATATCAAGGCTATGGCAACGCTGGCTCAGCACAAGAAACTTATCGACTATTTACAGGTAATATATTTTTGTAACATTTTATTGTGCTTGTTCTCCAATGCATATTTTTTTCAGCTTAAAGTCGAGGATTTGTCAGCCAAGAAGAAGAAAACTTTGGCCGACAAAATCTTTGGATCCAACAGCAATACTAAGGAGAACATATCGCCCAACGATGTAGAATCATCTATACTATATCGTGCTCTAAAAGAAGAACTGCGCCGAGAACAAAAGCTATCCAAGATGCT